CCCCCCCCCAAATATATATATATATAAATAAGAATATAATCACATTTCAACTCCAATGGTACACACGTGGCACTGCAAAAGCTGGTGCATGCGATTTGCCTTTCAATGATTTTAAAACTCTCTAAATTTTCACTTATTTTCGGATTTTCAGCTTTTATTAAAAAAAAAAGGCACACCTTTAATTTTTTATATCAATTTTGGTCAGATTCTAAATTAGAATTTTATGAAAAAAGTATTTCTTTTCTAAAGTGAATTTTGTATTTGATTCAAAAATCTAAAACCATATTTCCAATCAAATGTATTGAAAACAAAAATTTCATGTGGCTCGTCCCAGCAATTGGTCCGTTTTCCACTGCTATCGTTATGCCGAAAACAAATGACAAAGATGTGAAACGCTCAATCTAAGTACGAATAATTTGTATTTAGATACTTTGTTTTCTTTGAGAATTACAAAAATTTGATGGGCAAAGACGTTCTTCCTAACCAAGCTTGGGTGGCCTAGTTGTGAGAGAACATGCAAAACATGCTCTCATCGTGGGTTCAAACCCAATCGTGGGGAGAGACATTCACATGGGCTTTTTCGATCCTCTGAGATCCTCTGAGAGATGTAATCGGACCAAAGTCCCGGTGAACTTCCGGATTATAAAAAAAAAAAAAACGTTCTTCCTCTGTCTTTATGCTCCTTGTAAGTTGTAACCTCTTTCCTTCCTTTTTCTTGTGTTATCTCCTTTCCTCTGTGCCCAACACATTCACCAAAACCATCATCAGACGCATGAATGATAAGGACCAAATCTATTAACGTATCCGCTTCCTTCAAAGGTCGTCCTCCTCAAGGTCGCCGAGGTTCCTTCGTTTTCGAAAAGGGTTTTTCAGCCTCTCGAAGATTTCGTCCAGAGATTGATGCGGAGATGAATCCGACGAGGCGTTCATCCCCTCTTGTATTTGGCGTGACAGTTGAGATTTCTTGGCTTCCATCTTGGCCTTGAAGTTCTGGAACCCGTTCTTCATCGATTCCCATCTCGAACCTGATCTCGGGGCTTGTTCTTGATTTGCATTGCCTTCTTCCAAAGATCTCGAAGGAGTTGATTCTTTGTCGGGGTACTTGGTCGATACGCCTTGCCTTTCTGTAAGCGGTTTCAACTCAGCTCTGTTATCATCCTTCTCCAATAGGGACTTCACTTGATTTTCATCAGATGTGTACTGCCAGGTAACAGGTTGAAATTATGGTTAAATGTGTCAATGCAGATGCAACAGCGACGTGAATAGCTTCAACCGACGAAAAATACGGGTTGAGAAGGAGACATATACATTTGGTGTTTCCTCAGTTTTCTCCTCATCTTCAAGAGTCACATCATTGAAACTCCTTGCCAATGGAATGACCTGCTCACTTACTTTGTACCCTTTCTGCAGCCAATTCCGTTCTGCGGGAGGAAAACAGAGGAGAGAATACTGAAATAAAATGAGGACTGTCTGGGAAACAATATGAACTCGCCCGGAGTTTGTGATACCATGATGACAAAAAGATAATTGGAGTTGAATCTACACCTTTGCGTAAGATGATCAATCCCGATGGATCGAATCCATTTGTTTCATCAACTTCATCTTGTATCTTGAATATCCTCCAGTTTCCAACGTAGTTCACCACACGATCAAAAAAGTTGCTCGCGATAATGATGGTGTATATAACCATGATGAGAGGATAAATTTTATTGAACCCTCTCCCAAAAAACGGGACTGCGTCATCAATGTTTCCCATTCTCTGCATGGAAATCAAATGAGTTACATCTCAAGTGGAATAGAAAATGCGCGAGATGATTAAAGAGATAAGAAGTCACAACACGGGTCCAAAAGTTTACTACAGAAGAAAAAGGGTTCGGGATTCAGGGACTAAGGAACTGACCATCTCAAAGATTGTCTTTTTATCTCCATCAAGATGAATAAGATTCAGAAAGTTGTATGAAATTGGAGGAGCATATCGAGCAACCATCCTGGAGGAAGCTACAGTTAGATCAAATAATAGTGCAGAGAAAGAATTTCGTATTCTTTTTAGCGAAAACGTATAAAGTTTAAGACAATAATATATAAAGTGATGATACAACAGTCGAAGGGGAGAGGATTTACGAGCATATCATAAGTAAGCTAACCGAACTCGTCTGCCTTGGCGTCAGCGAGTAGAACATCAGCATTCCTATTTTAAACAAGGAATAATATGTGCAGACGCACATATACATGAGAGGAACAAAAGCAGCTACCTGTAAAATTACCGCACCGGCTTAGAAACGTACCAATGTATCTTTTCAGAGGAGGCAGTTCCTCAAAAACTTTAATGAAATCAAAATTACAAAAATTTGATGTGAAAATTAAACAGGATATGCCTAAATATGATAAGAAAGGAAAATCATTATGAACTGCCATAACTGATTCAGAAAATTTTCTCCATCAGGAACAAGTTCTTGCTAGCGACAAAAAAAGAATGGAAGTCGGATTTTCAGCAGTTGAATCCCTCATCACTAGTGTCAAGATATGATATTATGCAACCTGACCAATCTACCAATGTATACAAAGGGTAATGAATACAACGCCGACGAATAATTTAGACGTGGATCATCATTCTTAATGGTGTTTACCTGGACAAGCACCTCCCTTTTTCCTACAACGTTTATGAGAATAGAGAAAAGAGATAGATCAACTCCACGCGGCAATATAGTGGCTTCTGCCAAAAGAATTGCAACTGATATGCAACCTAGTGTGATAGCCAAAAGCTTTTCCAGTTCCTTTCTAAGCAGGCACCTCCAAACAAACTCTGAATGATATGGATACTATGTCAATGTTAAAATACAAAACTGAAATAATTCCTAAACATTACTTGGACAACCATTCAAAATACAATGGCTTAACCACGAACGTGACTACTTACCAACTGCATCAAGGAAAGATCCAAATGAGCCAGTTCTTTCATCTCTGAAGGTTGATATATATTTCCTGAAATCAGCGTAAGGACAGCATTGATATCAGAAGGTAATAATTGATGCAATTCAACCTGGTCTTGTGGCAACGATTCCATTTATCAGCAGAAAATGAATTAAACTTTGAGGACTATTGATCTGGAAGGATCAACAAACATCACCACAAGCGGCTGAGTAAACTTTATAAAGAGAAAAGGTAAATATGCAAAACTGTGGGGATAAGAGCATACCATCCCGTTGCATCTCGCCGCTCATAGCTTTTCACTGTATCTTCCAGTTCCAGGGCTTCTAATACGACATTCATGTATTCGCTGCAAAAGTCTAATGGTTGAGTTAAATGACGAGGACATCCTTCAAGTACAAAGAGATTGTAATCATTGTCTCATCTTCATAACTTAAACGTATAATGATGTCTAAGAGAAATCCCCATTTCAAGATCCACAAATTAAATGCAAGCATGCATGTGTTGTTGAAGTTCTTACATCCTAACTCTCCTAGAATAGAGATGAAAAATCGGCAACCGAATGGCTGAAACTTCACAGAAAAAAAAAAACAATAACTGTACTGAACGAAAGTGGCCATGAAATATAAATTGAATGCCATGCATCTCTTCATGTGATTAACACATCGCACTTTTTAAATGAGACAGGATTCACTTGTGCACTGAAATTGTAAATTTAGACAAAAAGGCTGCTATTGCAATTTGCATTTCTATTGTTAGTATAGAACAGAAAATAACGCAGAAATGAAAGCTTTTCAGATGGCTAGCGGCAGCAAAAAAGGGTAGCTACTGTTCAATGAGATGTGATGTACCTTTTATACCGATAGTACGTCTCTCTCGCTATTCGCAGGTTGCGCCTTAGTGCTGCCATTGTTTTCTCATCAGTGTCATAATCCATATCATTTTCTCCTAGTCTCCCACCTTGAGGTTTGAAAGAAGGATCATTTTTCAACTAAAATATAAGCAGACCAAAAAAAGAAAAAGAAAAAGAAGAGGATAAGCACAACAATGCTGAAGGAAACAAGAACACTTGCATGCATGTCTAGTCAAATACCATTTCTTGCAACATATTGTCAATGACATCCATGAATGGTCGCAAAGGATCGCGCTTGGACATTTGATTAGATGTTGCCTGAGCAACCTGAGAAAAGAAATAAAAATAGACTACATGGTTAAAACATAAAGCATAGTCATACAGACGGATGCTATCTCTCTATGCTGTATTTATCGATACAAAAGGCATTGATTGCAATAGGCAAATGAAGATTTAAATGCCACGGAGAAGCAAATAGATGGAAAGGACCACTTACTACTATTGCATTGGAAAATTCTTGGTGAGCATCGTCAAGTTTCAGAGCCATCTTTGCAACCTTATGTGAAAGCACCTTCTGCCGAGCAATCCAATCTGCATTTTTCCAGATTCCCCTTGGAATTTCACTTAACCCAAAGCCAAGAAGAAAAGCGCCTGTAACAAGGCCAAAAGTGTTTGAGCATGCCATAGCAAATCCAAGAATGCCCCCGCTCCTGCAATCCAAAAGGCATTATAAATAAAGCGGAGCAGGATCAGGAACACATAAAGGTAGTAGTAAGGAAGCACCATCAGACGTATTCTCGGAATCTCATATCCCTAGAAATTCAAGTAAAAAAGAACCAAGACTATGAAAAACCTTGGAGGACCCAATAAGAAGCTGCTAGTAAACTATCAACAAGATATTCACAATAATGACGAACCTAATGACATCAAAAGCATACATACCAACTTGTAGGGAA